GCAGCGCCAGCCCCGCCCCCACTGCTGCGGGTCCCGGTCCGCGGGGCTCAGGCCTGCGGGGTCCCGGACCGGCCCTGGGATGTTAAACGCCTCGGGGTCCGGGCCGTGACTTTGCCTTGGAAACAGCCCAGCGGGTTCCCGCTTCGCTCCAGCCGGTCCTCCCCATTGTCCCTCTGCTGAATGACTCCCCTGGAATCCAGGAGCTGTGGCTCCCCGCCCTCCAAGGGGCACTTGGGGGTAGGGGGGTTGTGGGCACTGGGTTATGCCTGCCCAGCGTTCCCATTGTTCGCTGGCATGGCAGGAGGCGGTCGCTTTTCTCTCATCCTCTATCTGTCTGGTCTGTTTAGGTCCTGATCCTGGAAATGCTTCCAGACTTGCATAACTTCTGCCGTGGAAGGCGTCCCCTTGACTTCAGGGAGACGGCTCTCGCGTGGGGGACTACTTGGGCAGGTGTCTGCTGCATTGATTCCTTGCAACGTAAGCTCTTCACCACCCAGACCGTCTCTTCTTACATATTTGTACAGTGCGCGTACAATACCCTTATTTTCTCCCTCTGCACCTTATCGTTGGGTAATCTCATCCACAGACACAAATCCAACTATCCTCTCTGTGCTGATGGCGCACAGACCTATCGCTCTGCTTCAGACCTGTCTCCTTCTGGCCAAACTGAACTCTTAGCCTGTCTCTCTGACATCTCCTTGTGAGCTTCTAGCTGTCAGCTTAAGCTCAACATGGCTAAATCAGCACTCTTAACCTTTCTCCCTTCCCCTTAGTCTTAACTGCTACCTCTTTCCTTGATCGTTGTGGACAGCACCACCATTCTGCCTGTAACCTGGGCCTCATCTTTGTCTCAGATCAATTTCTAGGTCCTCACATCCAGGCTACGTCTAAATCTTGCTGATTCTTTTTGCACGACATCTCTAAGAGACAGCCTTTCCTGTCCAGCCACACGGCTGAAACGCTCATCCCCAGGTTCTCATCTGCTCACCTCTCAGTTACTGCCACCTCCTTCCCCCAGCCTTGGCAAATGCAATCTTGCCCGGCTTGTGTCCATTCAGCGTGGTGCTGCCAAGATCACTTTCATAGCTTGTTGCTTTGAACATGTAATTCCCTGCTTTGAATCCTTCCACAGGCTCATGAGAACGGCCACACTGGGTCAAACCAGAGGTCCACCTAGGCCAGTATCCTGTCTTCTGACAGTGGCCAAAACCAAGTGCCCCAGAAGGAATGAACAGAAGAGGTAATCATCAAGTGATCTAGCTTCTGGCAAACAGGCTAGGGACACCATCCCTGTCCATCCTGGCTAATAGCCATTGATGGACCTATCCTCCATGAACTTGTCTAGTTCCATTTTGAACCCTGTTATAGTCTTGGCCTTCACAACATCCTCTGGCAAGGAGTTTGTCAGGTTGGCTGTGCATCGTGTGAAAAAATACTTCCTTTTGTTTGTTTTAAACCTGCTGCCAATTCATTCCCTCTTCTCCAGCTCAACAAACAAAAGCTACTGACCTTCACTTTCAAGGGTCTTGACAGCCTAGCCCCATCCTCCCCGTCTGGTTAGATTTTCAAACGTGTCGCCTATCTGCTTTCTCCCCTGCTGCCCCTCATGCTTGGGAGAGCACCCCGCCCCCCAAACATTCACTAAGCTACCAGGTCTCCAAAAAACTTCACTGTGATTAAGCGACTGGTGTGCAGAGCCCACTGCCTACCATGCTGACCAGGACTGTCTCGTTGTTTCCTTGTACTCCCCCATGTCTCTGTCTGTCTCATACTTCAGACTGTGAACTCTTTGGGGCATAGCACAACGGGGTCCTGGTCCGTAACTGGGGCTCTTCAACGCTACAGGAATATCACTAACAATGGGGCCTTGACTGTGCCTGGGGCCTCTAGGCATTCTTGGAATACTGATCCCGGCAGTGGACAAATGTGTGTGGAATATCCTGAGTAAAAATATGTGGGGGATGATGCTTTGGGTTGGGCCGGTAGAAAACAAGTACCAAGCTTCGAATGAGCTAAATTCTTCTTCACTGTGTAGGATTTGGGTGTTAAGGACTCAGGTCTGGTCTACACGGGAGAGATTTTGGGTTTTGTTTTGTTTTTTTGTATAAGCTAAGGTAGGAATTTAAACCAGACTAGTTATGTTGCTTGGGAAGGAGATAATAGACTAGTCTCTTGTGGGCTGTATTACTCTGGGCAAACTTCCCGTGTTGGGTTTAGTGTGAAGGAGCTGGCTGGGGTTGGTGGGCTGTGACAGGCTAAATGGTTTGGTGGGCGCTTCTGGCCTTAAACGCTCTGACTCTAAACTGGGAACAGGTGCTGTTACACCCGAATGAGGGTGTAGGGTGTTATACCGGTGTGCCTATACCAGTATAACTGGTCAAACTTTCCCGTGTGGACAAGGCCTCAGACCCTTTTTTTGCTGCTTACCTCTGAGCTGCGTGCAAAGATAATCTTTCTGAGCGTTGTGTGCAAGGGTTATCAGTTTTGAAAAGGCAGCCTAGATTCTGATTGTCACTGTGACTCTTCATTTTAAAATAGATCCTTTCTGCTGTACAGTTCTGTCTCATTCCTCTAGTGTCTGACACTGTTTTAAAGATGACACCACCTCCGTTGCTTGTACATTGTTCCTGTGGCGCTCTCATGAGAGGTCCTGTCAGTGACAAAACTTTGTCAGGCATCATTGCCATTCAGTAGCTTAGGCTGTGAATGAAATGAACTAGAATCGCATGCCTGACTTGCAGCAAAGGATCAGAGTCTGCGGGAATGGAAGTGACACTTATTCATGTGAGTAACTTTACATGTCTGAATAGTTCCTGGGAATTTGAGGGACCCCTGAGTGCGTAAGTGTCAAAAGTGTGGATAAAGATATTCAATGAAAAACGCAGAGCTGCTAACTCTGTGGTTCCCAGGACACCAGTCAGGATCTGCTGGTTGGCAGGAGAGCACGATAGATTCCTGTATGACCAGAATCCACTGGGTTGTGACTGCCAGTAGGAGAGCTACATTACACTAGCTTCTTCCAAATAAACGGACTTGGCATTTCGAATGGAAAATGATCAAGCCACCAGCATGCAGAGCGTTTGTCTGCCTCCAAAACTGCTTTTAAAACCACTTTTTATTTGTACCGTGTGTACACACGCTTGTATTTCACTAAAATTGTTTGTCGCATCTCTCATGCAGCAGCTATAGCTATATGAATGTACACAACACGGCATCTGCAAACGTCCAGGGGACATCAACTTAAAATCACTCATAGTGTTACAAATAACAGCGGAAAAGACTATAACAGAAGGAAATTAGAGGAAAATTATAGGTTCTTTTCTTTGTTTATTTACACTGGGCATTTGACAGCCCTTCGTGTAGGTGTTTTCACTCTGGGTCTTTCACACAGCAACAGGGACGAGAAACATTTAACAGAAATGAGGAGTGTGTGATCATTGAAACGAGCAGGCTAACGAAAGGGCAGTTGTAAGAACTGACGCTAGTCTTAACTCTCACTGTAGAAACTGACTCGATTGCGAGCTGAGGCAGCCCTTAAACCTCCCCTGTGTGGGTATAAAGTTCTGTCTAGGATGCCTGACGCTCTGCAGACAAACTCCGCTTCAGACCGTCACCGCACTAATTTAAGAAGAAAATAGCTGGGTAGCTATTATTCATGGCACATGTCAGCCCAGGGCAGCTGAACCTTTTATGAGCCTCATTTCAAGGAGTTTATAATTCTAATAAAGATGTCAAAAGAGCTCATTCCTCACATCAGGACAGCGCCGCTGGGGGAGTAAAGATCGCACAGTGCTGAGGAGTCCGCAGCGTGTGAGCGGCTCTTGTGCAGATTCTCTGTATCTGACTCTAGCTCCATTTCCCGTCTCTCTCCTTGCAAACAGGCTCAGGAGTGGGATGCAGAGTCGCAGCGCCCGATGTCTTCACAGCCTGAACAAACGTCGGTGCAAACAGCAGAGATTTCGATGTGGACCCTAGTGGCTGCCATCCAAGCTGTGGAGAGGAAGGTGGATTCGTTGGCCACACGGTTGCTGAGTCTGGAAGGGAGAACTGGGATGGCTGAGAAGAAAATATTCGAGTGTGAGAAAACCGAGTTGGAGTTTGGGAACCAGCTGGAGAGTAAATGGGCCGTGCTGGGAACTCTGATCCAGGAGTACGGGCTGCTGCAGAGGAGGCTGGAGAACATGGAGAACCTGCTGAAGAACAGGAACTTCTGGATCCTGAGACTCCCCCCTGGTATTAATGGAGAAGTCCCCAAGGTAATCGTACCCCAATTAGTACAGGAAGTAAAGGCTGAGCCTGTATCGGGTAACAAAGGGATTTTTCTAGGGCTGTCAAAAGGTTAAAAAAAAATTGCGATTTATCGCCGTTTTAATCGCACTGTTAAACAATAACAGAATACCACTTATTTAAATATTTTTGGAAGTTTTCTACCTTTTCAAATATATTGATTTCAGTTACACCACAGAATACAGAGTGTACAGTGCTCACTTGAGATTTTTATTACAAGTATTTGCACTGTAAAAAGATCAAGAAAAGAAATAGTATTTTTCATTTCACCTCATACAAGTACTGTAGAGCAGTCTATCGTGAAAGTGCAACTTACAAATGTAGAATTTATTTTTTTTACATAACTGCACTCAGAAACAAAACAATGTAAAACTTTAGAGCCTACAAGTCCACTCAGTCCTACTTCTTGTTCAACCAATAGCTAAATTAGTTTGTTTACATTTATGGGAGATAATGCTGCCCGCTTATTATTTACAGTGTCACCTGAAAGCGAGAACAGGCATTTGCATGGCATTTTTGTAGCCGGCGTCGCAAGGTATTCACGTGCCAGATGCGCTAAACATTTGTATGCCCCTTCGTGTTTCAGCCACCATTCCAGAGGACATGCTTCCATGCTGATGACGCTCGTTAAGAAAATGTGTTAATTAAATTTGTGACTGAACTCCTTGGGGGAGAATTGTATGTCTCCTGCTCTGTGGTTTTACCCACATTCTGCCATATATTTTGTGTTATGGCAGTCTCAGATGACGACCCAGCACATGTTGTTTGATTTAAGAACACTTTTTCACTGCAGATTTGGCAAAATGCAAAGAAGATACCAATGTGAGATTTCTGAAGATAGCTACAGCACTCGACCCAAGGTTTAAAAATCTGAAGTGCCTTCCAAAATCTGAGAGGAACGAGGTGTGGAACGCACTGTCAGAAGTCTTAAAAGAGCAACCCTCCAATTTGGAAAACTACAGAACCTGAACTAGCTTCTGCTGGTGGCATTTGACTCAGATAATGAAAATGAACATGCGTCAATCCCAAGCAGTGCGGACTGTTATCGAGCAGAACCTGTCATCAGCATGGAAGCATGTCCTCTGGAATGGTGGCTGAAGCATGAAGGAGCATACAAATGTTTAGCATATCTGGCATATAAATACCTTGCAACGCTGGCGACAAAAGTGCCATGCAAATGCCTGTTCTCACTTTCTGGTGACATTGTAAATAAGCGAGCAGCGTTATCTCCCGTAAATGTAAACACATTTGTTAGTCTTAGCAATTGGCTGAACAAGAAGTAGGACTGAGTGGACTTGTGGGCGCTAAAGTTTTACATTGTTTTGTTTTTGAGTGCAGTTATGTAAAAAAATAATTCTACTTTTGTAAGTTGCACTTTCACGATAAAGTGATTGAACTACAGTACCTATACGAGGTGAATTGAAAAATACTATATTTTCTTTCTTTTTTACAGTGCAAATATTTGTAATATAATATAAAGTGAGCACTCTGCACTTTGTATTCTGTGTTGTAATTCAAATCAATGTATTTGAAAATGTAGAAAAACATCCAAAAATATATAGAATAAATTTCAGTTGTTGTTCTATTGCTGTTTAACAGTATGATTAAAACTGTGATTACTTGAGATTAATTTTTTTAACCAGGTTATTTTTTTTTTGAGTTAATCACTTGAGTTAATTGTGATTAATTGATAGTCCTAGATTTTTCATATCTCTGATCCATAGGCCCTTTCATTCCCCATTGCAAAAGTTTGAATAGAGGCAGTGCCTTGATTAGCCACTAGCGTTAGCTAGTCACATTAGGTCTGGAGGGTTCATTGGATAGTTGCCTAGAACTCGTCCCCGTACCGTCCATCTGGGGCTCTTATCAGGAGAATCCCCACTCTCACTGCAGCCCTCTTGTGCTGGCTGTTGGGGCGAGTTTATCCTCTCTGGGGATAAACTTGAGCATGCAGTAGCACCCCTAACCTCCAGGCCAGCCGAGAATCCCTGTTCAGAGAGGAGAGAAGCACTTACGCTCCCTCCTGTGCCAGGAGCTGTGCTGCTCCAAGGGAAGGGTAAGTTACTAAGATCAGCTGTTGGTAGTGTGCTGGTAGCAGTGCCTCAGGTCATAGTTGTTCCTCCAAGAGACTGTCTTCTCTGCCCACACTCCCTCCCCAACCTAGGATCCAGTCCCTCCCAGTGACCCTGCTTGAGTGGTCTAGCTCTCGTGGCTTTGAAAGACGTCGAATCGGGTATGTCCGGACTCATTTTCCCTCGTTCCCTGTACTGAGGCCTGTCTGTATAGCCAGAGGCAGATGTTTTGTTTTTTGCAGTTTATCTCTGAACTGTGATCTCCTAAAGGGTCTCTAGAAGACTTCGGGATAGCTCAGTGGTTTGAGCATTGGCCTGCTAAACCCAGGGTTATGAGTTCAATCCTTGAGGGGGCCATTTAGGGATCTGGGGCAAAAATCTGTCTGGGAATTGGTCTTGCTTTGAGCAGGGGGTTGGACTAGATATCTCCTGAGTCCCTTCCAACCCTGATATTCTATGGTCTCTCTCTATGGTCTCATTCTATGACATACAGAGACTAACTTCTCAAATAAAGATATGTCAAAGGTTCTGCTGGTCAGACCTGCGGTAGTCCTTCCTCATCCAAAGCTAGGGGAATTATTTTTTAATGAACACTAACAGTGAGTCCCTTTTCCTTACCATCCCTCTGACACTGATGATGTCGTCTCTGGCTTCTCCTCCTTTCATAATTCATTCCTACACCAAGCTAAATTATCCCTCTTCTGCTCCCAGTGTTTCGACTTGGATTGTTGTGATTTACAGCAGCGTATCCAGGTTCTCGTATTAGCGCCCATTGTGTAATGTCCGAGTGCAGTGTGCAGATGTCGTAGAAAGTGTTTCCAATATGCTTTTAATAGCTCAAAACTCAGCACCTTATTGTGCTACAAAGTAGCTTTAACAGTCTGGAATGCAACTGGAGACGAATTGGTTATTTTCCACAAAACAAGGCATACTTTTCCACTGCCTTGGAGTAAAGCTGGAGTAACTCAATGGTGGTGCTCTAGATTCACACCAGTGCAAAAGATCTGAATCTGGCCCTGTATCTTTCTGACCATAAACTTTAAAATATCTAAGAAAAATACTTGTTAAAGGGGAAGAAATGTTGCTCCATGTTTGGTGCAGCCGGAATCGTATCGAGTGATGATATTAAATGGGACCCTTCTGGCTTTTGTTAGTCTCGTTGTAACTCAGCTTTCATTCTGTGGCATTGCAATACAAACCGTTTTGCTTTGCTTCTCCCCGTCAGGGAATTCTGTCCCCTTTTGTTTTCATTTGTTGCATCGTTTTACTATTGTTCTTTCAAATATAATGAACATTAAATTGTCACATAAACAGTGTGTTTAAAAAATGCCCATCCTCTGCATTAACTCTAGTTGCCTTTTTTAGGCACTCCCTATCTATTTTATATATTAGTGACACAAGTATAAGAGATGAGTTAAAGCAAAGAGCTAAGTGCATGTTTGATGGCAGGTGCCGGTGATGTTTGATGACAGCGCCGTCTTCTCCCAGGAGGAGTGGGAGAACTTAGAAGACTGGCAGAAGGAGCTGTACAAGAATGTGATGAAGGGGAATTATGAATATATGATCTCACTGGGTAAGGAACGTTTTTCGCTGATTTATTAGAAAATGCTTGACTTCTGGAGTGTTGGCTTGACTCCACCAGCTGAGGGGTGTTCTTAAACTCCTGTGAGTTCTGCGGCTGCACGCCTGCCTGCATGCATTCAGTTTTGTCATGACAGAAAGCCGATGCGCAGCGTGGTGGCGGTGGTCAGTGTTCGGTGCTCTCGAGATGTGAATAGCGGTTGTATTTACTCATAGGCTCAGCCCTTGTATAGGTCTGTCTCTTACGCGGGGTTCTGTTCCGCGGTTAGCGCATAAAGCGAAAACCGCGTATAGCCAAAACCCCATTGAGTTCAATGGCGGGCGAAATCACCCGCACTACAGGTATAGTATTAAAACTGTTGTTTTTCTCATTTTTCTGTTTTTGTTTTTGCTGACCACGTAAAGTTGAAATCGTGTATGTTAAATGCGTGTAAGATAAGACATACCTGTATGTGGAAAACCTTTTGTGTTCTGTGGGCCTGATTTTGATCTTGCGCTGTCTTGATCACTAGTAGAACTCCTGTTGGCATCGATGCACTCACTCACCTGTAACTTACGTGTGTGCATGAGAGATGCGAATCGGATGCTGTGTGTGGTGTGGTAAATTCTGCTGCATAAAGGGTATGTCATAGAGAAGCGGTGCAAGTAACCGATGTCCCTGCATAAGGGAATTATGGTGGTGGAACTGGAACTCGAGACCTGGGTTCTGGTCCCAGCTGTGCCACAGACCCTGTGTGACCTTGGGCATGTCACTTGCTCTCTTTCCTTTTTCGTGCAATGCAGTGGCAATACTCCTCTGGCTTCCTGGTGGCTGAGATTCATCCGCTCTTTGTGAAGTGCTTCGACATCCCACATAGGAGGCGCTATGCGGGGGTTGCTTTTTACAGATCGCCTCCAGGGATAGAAGGGGATTGATTTAAAATAAGTCGCAATTCTTTGCTATAAGTTATCTGTTTATTAATAGCCACTATGTCCTCTCCCATAAACAGACTATGCAATTTCCAAACCTGACATCCTGTCCCGAATTGAGCGAGGAGAAGAGCCGTGTGCAAGGGGTCAGCAGGAGTCGGAGGAAAGAGAAACCACTGCAGATCCCAGCCCAGGTGAGGGTTGGCTGAAATCGACTCAAACAGCGGGTGAAGCGAGCAGCTGTAACTTCAACGAGCCTCCCTCTGCCATTAGAGCTGCATGCTTAAAAAAAATCAGTAGTTTTCTTATGTCTGATTTTGTCTCTACCAATCAAAACTATTTCTGGCTCTAGTCCCTCTCATTGAGTGTGCGGACTGGTCAGTGCACTTAACCACTTGGTTTGTTTCCTCTAGATCCTCTTTAGCAAGGCTGGTTTCTAGTCAGTGACTGCCTGCTCCAGAGCCGGAGGTTCTGGGGGCTTGGGATCGTTTTGAAAGGTTTAGGGAACAATTTTCAAAAGGAGTGAGGGCTGCATTAGCAACAGGACTTGGCTCGGCTGCATGGGTGGTCTTTGCTATCCAGTTACACCCGGGAGGCACGAGCTATTTCTTTCAGGTCGGGCAGTGATGGTTAGAAAACCCGCACTGAGTTCTCTTTTCAATGCACAGCGTCTGCGCCGTCTACCCTCGAAATCGCCGCTCAGATTAAACAAGAGGAAGAGCCAATGGCTGAGGAGCAGGATGCAGAAGGAAGAGAAGCCCCTGCAGAGCCCGTGGCAGGTGTGTGATGGGCGCAGGTGACTCGGAATCCCGGCAGTCTAGTTGAAAAGCAGGAGCACGAACAAAAGCTTTATACTTGTAAAGCTCTTCTTCTCTAGGCCAGCGTGAGCAGCATTGTCTCTGTGACAGGCCTCAGTCGCAGCAGGAAGAAGAATGCTGCATACCCCACAGGGCAGTTTATCCCTCCGAACAGTCAGGTGGGACTGCTTTGGGGGCGGGAGTGAGACCACCTGTGGGACTTTGCTGTGCTGATAACCCCCTGGAGTGCTCCGATGCTGTCCCGGAGGGGAGCATTGTAGAAATGCCTGGATAGATTGACCGGAAGGGATCAGGGACAAGAAATGTTCTCCCTTAGGCTCTCTGGCCTGGTGACTCTCTGCTCCAAGTGGCACTGAGGTGCTGGAGCAACTTCTTCTCATGCATGCCCGTGCGTGGGGTCAATGGGAGCTGCGTGGGCGCAGTCGAGGGCAGAACTTGGCCCATTGTGAAGTTCCTGTTTTGTTTCTCCCCGTGTAGGGGTTTAGGGAGAAATCTCTCAGGAATGAGTCCAGATAGAATCAGTCGTTTCCTTACTTGCCTGTGTGGCAGGGAGGGTTTGTATCCAAAGACTTGCCAGCATCCTTTCAATCTCGAACTATTGGTCTCTCTTCGGTGGCCCCATCCCTGTAGTATGAGAGTCCTGCAGGGTCTTCGTTATTATTGTTGTTCATTATTTGTATTACTGTGGCTCCTAAGAGCCCTAGTCCTGGATCGGGACCCCACTGTGCTAGGCGCTGTACAGGCACAGAACAAAAAGACAGTCCCTGCCCCGAGAGACATACAATTTAAGCGTAAGACGAGACAACACGTGGGTACAAACAGATGGGGGAGGACAGGAGAACAAGGGGCAATATTGGTCCGTATGACAGCCCGTGCAGCCTGTGTGTCAGAGGCTATGTGGTGTCATGGCAAAGGAGAGGTTTGCGGAGGAATTTGAAGATGGATGACGAGGAAGTTTTGGGGCGGCTTATGGAGAGCACCTCCCAAGCTGTGTCTTTATTCTCCCCACGGCCCTGGGAGGTAGAGGGATTGCTGTCCCCCACTAGCAGATGGGAAGTGAGGCAGAGAGAGGCTGTGTTCTGCCCTGGGCCTGTGGCAGAGACAGACCCTAGTGCTGTAACCAGAGGCCCAGCCTTCCCCTCATTTGGTCTCTGATGCATGGCCAGAGAGTTGATTCCCCCCACCCCTTTATGCAGCGTAGTTTCATTTCTCCCAGGCTGTCCTGTGAATTACGTTTGCCTTCCCTCCCTGTTCCAGCCGACGCCTGGCTCGCCAGCCACGAGAAGAACAAGGAGCAAGATTCGCAGGAGCTGGAGCCGCACTGGACTGCGGCCCAAAGACCGGAAGAGAATATTTACCATAGCGCCGAGCACGGCCCGCCCTCCAACGGGCCAAACGTGACCCTGGCAGTGCATATGCCAGAGAAACCCACCCAGCACGAGAGAGACTTCAGCCCCTTGAAAGCCAGCACCGTGTGCCCAGGGGCCCCCGCAACGGAGCGGCCCTACCTCTGCCCCGAGTGCGGGAAGTGCTTCAGCCGCAGGAGCACTTCGTGCAGCACCAGCGCACCCACACGTGTGAGCGCTCCTACGTGTGCCCCGAGTGCGGCAAGGGCTTCACGCAGCAGTCCAACCTCACCAACCACTACCGCACCCACACGGGCGAGCGCACCCACGTGTGCCCCGAGTGTGGCAAGGGCTTCATCCACCAGTCCACGCTCACCACCCACCTCCGCACCCACACCGGCGAGAAGCCCTACCAGTGCAGCGTCTGCGCCAAGTGCTTCAGCCGCCTCTCCACCCTGCTGGAGCACCAGCGCACCCACACCGGCGAGAAGCCCTACAAGTGCCTGGAGTGCGAGAAGCGCTTCAGCCGCCTCTCCACGCTGGTGGAGCACCGGCGCACGCACACCGGCGAGAAGCCCTACAAGTGCGCCCAGTGCGAGAAGAGCTTCACCCGCCTCACCAACCTGACCGTGCACCAGAACACCCACGCCGGCGAGCGCGCCTACAAGTGCACCCAGTGCGGCAAGAGCTTCGCCCAGAAGCCCTACTTCCTCAAGCACCTGCGCAACCACACCAAGGAGAAGCTCTACAAGTGCTTGGAGTGCGGCAAGAGCTTCGTCTGCCACTCCTGGCTGGTGCGCCACCAGATGATCCACACGGGCGAGCGGCCCTACCAGTGCGGCGAGTGCGGGAAGAGCTTTGTGCAGAAGGAGCACCTCTTGAAGCACCAGCGCGTCCACACGGGCGAGCGGCCCTTCCAGTGCTCCGCCTGCGCCACGAGCTTCCGCTGCCAGCAGTCCCTGAGGCTGCACCAGTGCGCGCACGCCGGCCAGCAGGGCGGTGCGCCGGCCGCGTCGGGGGCCGAGTTCAAGAGCCAGCTGCTGTACCTGAAAATGGAAAATCCCGGCTAGTAGGGGGGCGAGCCCTGCGTTGGGAGCTGCACGGGGAGAGCCTCCCCCAGAGACTAGCCAGATCCGCCCCATGTGAAACAATGCAGTGAATCCCACGCCCTCTCTGCGTGCCGGATGGGAGGGGAGCGCTGGACGCGAGGGGCAGTGACGCAAGACCGTATTGAATGTGAGCTGCAAGCAGCCGTTACGTGCCGCGCCCGGGGAAGAGACCCTGCGACGGACTGGACAATGCGTTGGAAGCATCCAAGTGGCCGCAGCTGTTTTGTACGAACAGTCTCCTGACCGCTGGCACTGCCGGCGAGTACGTCGCCAGCAGGCTCTGCTCTGCGGGGATGGCGCAGCTCAGGCCTACGAGCGGCTGTAACGTGAACGACTTCCTGCCACCACTGAAGAAGTGGAGCACAGGCTGTTGGGAGTGAGTGTCAGCACGTCGGCAGGAGTGCTGGGTTAACAGTACTTTGTCCTCCAGGGTGCTACCGACAAATGCGCTCTGCTTGCCCGCACTGGGTGGCTTCCCGCAGTCAGTACGGCTGGGGGCTCGGAGGTGTGGCTGAGAAGTGCCTGCAGTTACACTGCAAGCCAGGGGCAGAGCCAGGTCTACACTACAGGCCGCCTATGCTCTTACCACTTGGCCTCACCACCTTCAGCCCTCCTGAAATGGAAGCTGAGCTCCGCCGTGCCGGACGAGAGCAGGAATGCGGTGTCCGGCTTGCTTGCCAGTCCGGGGAAGCGATTGGCAAACTGGAAGCAGTGATTTCTGTTCTGTTGGTGACTGGTTCTATTTGTGACACTCCTGCTTCCCACTGCAGCTGGTGGTGGGGGTGGTACCCTCAAATACCCTGGAGCAGCAGCAAAAAATAAAGTTAAGCTGGGTGCTCAAAGCGTGCGTGTCTGTGAGGTGGTGTGATCTGCCGCAGGAAGGCAGACTCGGAGTATTTCACTTTAAAGGTCAAAACACGTAATTCAGAAGTTAAAAGGGCTGTGGGGGGAATTGGAGCCAAGCTCAATTCCGCTGAACGTTGCCCGACCTAGGAGTCGTGTGGGTGCTCGTGAGACCTCTCCAGAGCAGGCATTGCGTCTGCCACAGCAGTGCTAACGACAGTGGAGTGTCAGGTTGGGGGTTCGGCCCTCCCCTGCTCCTCACACTGCAGTTCTGCTCCGGTTCGGAGCTATTTACCTTCCCAATAGCTGCCTGCAGGCCTCCCGCAAAATGAGACCTGCAAGCTTGTCTACACAGCTGGGTTTTGTTTGTTTTGGGGGCCTTGGCTCCCTGAGGAGATGACAGGTAACAGTTCCCTGCAGAGCAGCTGTGATCAGACCAGTGTTTGCAAGTCTACCGCTGGGCCCAGATCGGTGCATTCTGAGCTGGTCTTCTGTAGTGCTTTTTAATTTTAATAATTTTTTTTAATTAATGGAGATATCCTATCTCCTAGAACTGGAAGGGACCTTGAAAGGTCATCGAGTCCAGCCCCCTGCCTTCACCAGCAGGACCAAGTACTCATTTTGCCCCAGATCCCTAAGTGGCCCCCTCAAGGATTGAACTCACAACCCTGGGTTTAGCAGGCCAACGCTCAAACCACTGAGCTATCCCTCCTGCTTCAGCAGGAGCAGAGCACCCAACGCACAGGCTGTTACGAACCGTTTGCAAAGGGACAGATAAGGCAGAAAATATCAAAATGACACGCTACAAATCCATGGTGCACCCACCCCTGGAATGCTGTGTGCAGTCCTGCCCACTGCATCTCAGAAAAGCTGAATTAGAATTGGAAAAGATACAAAATGATTAGGGGTCTGGAACGGCTTCCAGCTGAGGAGAGATTAAAAAGACTGGGACTCGTCAGCTTGGAAAAGAGACGACTAAGGAGGGGTATAATAGAGGTCTATAAAAGGTGGAGAAAGTGAATAAGGAAGTGTTATTTACTCCTTCCCATAACGCAAGGGTTATTCATAGCAGACTGTGCCCCCTTATTGACTGGCCACTAGTGGGTAAAATCAATGTCCCCCCGGGGGCCCAGCAGGAAAAGGCACAAAGTGGGATTAAATCAGATCTTAAAGCATCTGCTGCTGCAAGGTGCTTTTCTACCACTCGCAAACTGAACTGCCTTCGCTCCGCAGAGCTGGTAGCCTGTATCTGCATTTCAGAGCCGATGCTGCCATAGACCGGGGGTGCAGACAGTGTAGACCACCGGAAGCTGGTACAGCAACACCAGCCTGAATGCTGTTAGCTTCAGCAACAGCAGCCCCCTTTTGTCAGTCCAGCTGCCTCTCCGCTGGGGTTTGGCGGCAGAGCTAGGCTGGGCAGGGGGTGTCGTTCACAGCTGTGCTGATACGTTTTAAGTGTAGATGGATTCCTGCGGCACCAGCACTTGGATGAATTCATCCAGGGTGGGAAGAACCTCTTAACGCTTCCCTCTTTCCCATTTACTGATGAGGGAACCGCTGTGGGAGGAGATGTGCATTCCCCCTCTCGCACTCAGGCCTGCTATCACCCTCATGTTCCAATGGCTGGTGGTGGCCGGACACACTGACAACAGTGCGAACCACTCACCCAACTGCTCACAGGAGGCCCAGACCCCCCGGTGCACTCCAATATTGGCAGTGGTGCCTGGGGAGGGGGAAGTGCGCCCCAGGCGGTACTCTCGGGGGAGGGGAAGGTATGAGGATGGGCAATCACTTGTTACTGAGTAGGATCATCTTCCATGGGCGTTATGGCTCAGGCGGCTAATAAGGCCAATCCTTGAACCACGTGTGCTATTGCAACGAGGGCAGATGTTTCCAGGCGAAGCAGGAGGCTGTTGACCATGACTGGGAGCCAGTCTCTCCTTCCTCCTGTGCCTCTTGTCCTCTTTGGCTTGTCGGCGAGCAAGTTCAGAGTGCAGGGGACCGGCACGTAGGACTTCACTCCGTTTTAAGCGATCCTGAGCAAGTGTCAATGTCAATATTACACTTTTTTAGGTTGTCCTTATAACACTTCTGACATAAATTGCAATACTGGAGGGGGAAGGTATAAACATGGCATGGTACATCGGCCCCCCCAGGGCACAGAGATGCACATTGCTGGCCTGCACCCTTGGGCACCGAATGAAGCCCATATGATATAAAATCCTGAATGGTGTGGAGAAAATGAATGAAGTGTTATTTATCCATTCACATAACACAAGCACCAGGGGTCACCGGATGAAATGAATAGGCAGCGGGTTTAAAACAAATGAAAGGAAGTATTTCTTCACACAACGCACAGTCAACCTGTGGAACTCATTGCCAGGGGATGTTATGAGGACCAAAAGTATAAGGGTTCAAAGAATAATTAGATATGTTCATGGAAGATAGGTCCATGATTGGCTATTAGCCAAAATGGTCAGGGATGCAACTCTGGGTGTCCCTAAGCCTCTGACTGCCAGGGGCTGGGTCCCTCAATCATTGCCCCGTTCTGGTCATGCCCTGTGAAGCACCTGGCACTGGCCACTGTCAGAGACAGGCTATTGGGTTAGATGGACCATTGGTCTGACCCAGTCTGACCGTTCTTATGAGGTGTGAGGCTCCTTGTGGCCAATCCCTCCATCTCCTGAGGGCAGGAGGACGTGGCTTTCTCTCTAGAAAACTTGTCTGCAGAGCCTCTGCCCCTAGCAGGCTCCACTCTCACTAGCTCGCTGATCTCTCTGTCCTGGGCCTGGGTTTCTCAGGGCAGCGCCACCCCTTCCTGGACAGCGCCGCTAGCAGCGCCTCCTTGCTTGGACCCATCTGGCCCCAACACGTCCTCTGCCTCCCCAGGGGTGTTGCCCTAAAGGGGCGGCTCCTCCTAAGAAGTGTTTTTAGCCGGCTTTGTTCCAGGTGAGACTCAATGGAAGGTCCCACATTTATCCACAAAGCAGGTGCAAAGCCCCCCCCACCCTGCCCAGTGCAGGCGTGTCCCCTCCCCAAGGGGTGCTCAGATTGGCCTCTGCTGCAAGGTGTGAGGGCAGCTTTGTGAGGTGGCCCGGGGAGCCAGCTGGAGGTCACCCAGCTCACGCCTCACAGCCGCCAGGTACGGCAAACAGCATTGGCCAAAAAACTCCCATGGCCATGGCACAATTGCTCGCCCACCCCCTGGCCTTCCCACCCTCACTGGGGTCACCTGTTGGTTCGTGCTGACGGAAGCGGCTGGCCTGGCAGCCCTTGCTGTTCCTACACTAGACTTTCCCTGCAAAAGCGCTCACCGTTGAAGCTACTCACTGGGAGCCTTAATGTAGACAAGACTCTGGGCACGTGGCACTAACGCCTCATGGTGCAGCCTGCTCCGAGCAAGGCTAGCCAACATGCTGGTTACAATGGCAGCGGCACGGCTACGCCCACCCACCATCGGGGCTGACGACCTGTGGCTGAGGCCAGAGAGCCTGAAATTCTTCATTTAACTGGAGCCCAGTAAAGTGACGTCACACAGGCACCCAGAACAGAGTCATGGGCTCGAGCCAGACACCTGTGCGGCCTCTGTGGGGCGAGAGGCCAAGGACCACACATGGGTTTGGTTCTATTGCTAACGAGTCAGGGGCCTCTGGGCATCACCAGTACAGGACGTGGGGATCGGGGGGGGGGAGGGGGGCTCTACGAGCCAACGCAGCTAGAGCTGGCAGCCCACCACGTGCCCTGGGGCTGGCATGTCCTGCTTGGCATAACAATCGCCACCCACCCAGGCGCATGAGCGAGGCCCTACCGTATCAGCAAGCGCCAGCCACCCCGTTCTTCTCACTCCCGGACATTAGTTCACCCAATACCAGGGGACGGCAGACTAAAGAGAGGCAGCCCCAGCTGGCCAGACTCGGGTACCTACCAGCCTGGCAGAGGGCTGTGTAGCCCAGGCCTCTTCGTGTGGGATATTTGGGGGTGGGGGGCGTGAGTGGGGAGTCAATAGGCAGACACCTCAGCAGCTACGTGGGGGGGGGGGTGTGTATCTGACACCTTTATATGCTGGGGTGCGGCCAGTCTGTGCCCTATGAATGCCCTGGCAGGAAGTGCTCTGGCAAGTGGGAGGGGCTTAGGCACTATAAAGCCAGGATGTGCGGCGTTCCCTAGTAGCCGAGTGGCCAGTTTGCTTTGAGTGGCACCCGGCTTTGAGGGATGCACTCGCTCAGGAGCCTGTCTAGACCTCGGTACACCTCTAAAGG